TCGTGCCCCCTGTCCGTACATCCCCTCCCCTCCATCCCCGCATCTTAGGGCCTTGCTCATTTCAATGCCTGCAACACCACCAACAACAGCAACAGCAGTAGTCGCTTCCCGTCGCTTCCACTCCTTCTGCGCCCGTAGCCTCCTCGCCGGCCCCTCCTCCCATGACCGAGGAAGACGACAAGAAAGCCCACCGCCGTGTGGTCGGGTGGCAGCTATCAGTCAAGCGCCGCCGTCCGTTACTGGAGCGGCAGTAGCAACGCAAGCTGCAGCTCTGGTGTTCTGGCAGCAGTGCTGGTGGTGGTGCTGGTGGTGGCACTTGTAGCAGCAACGGTAATTCTGGGTAGTTCATTGGGCAGAGTGGCGCTGGTGATGTGGGCTTGACAGCGCTACAGGTGGTGGCTGTGGTTGTGTGTACCTCAGTGGTGGTGTGTGTGTTGCTACTGCTGCTGCTGAAGCTTCACAGCTCATATGAAGGGGCGAGCTCCAGCGGCACTGGCACGGGCATGTCAAGCGAGTGAATGTAGTGGGAAGGAAAAGTAGAGTGACGGGCATCTCGATTTTGATCCTAGCACAGTTTTCCACATTTTTCACGTCATATGCTTCATTCATTCCCGTTCATTCAGTTTGTTCTCAGTGGTAGGCCTAGCACGATTGCAGAAATAATCCTAGAGCGTAAGCTTGGTCTGGTCCTAGATATAATTTAAAAAAAAAATCCATTAGCTGCCTTGATTCCGATGCTTTATATTCTGGCTTCTTTTTTTGACAGCAACCGCAACAGCGAGTCATCACAAACCCATTGAGTATCTCGCCTCTGTCACCCCAATCAGGGTAGCGAATCCCGTTCCATTTGGCAGCGCAGACTGTCGCCTGTCAGGGCCCCAATGACGTGCCACAGACGTGACCTGACGTCTTCAGGGTCACAGCTGTCACATCTTACAATGTATCCCGTTTTCCTTTCGTAAACCAGCTTCTATCAGAGACCGAGGAACTCACTATCGCGGTTACGTCAGCCTGAACCAAGATTGAAGGAACCATGTGAATGTGCGAAGCCACATGTATTGCCCTCCGCTCTCGGTGCCATAGACTATCGCGGACTCACTACCGTGTTCTTCTCATTACTTTAGTCTCTGTACCTTCATCTTCTCGGTACCTGTAGAAACCGTTGGTTCGACCGAAGCATGGTAGCGCTTCTTCCTCCCGCCTCTGGATCACGAGGACGGCGGACAGCGACGACGACGCAGCCGCTCTGATGAATGACGGTGCGGCGGAGAATAATGACGGAACGGCGGAGACGGTTGGGTTCCAGAAAGTCGTTAACGTTAGCGTCAACGGTAACGTTAACGACGGCAATGGGCCGCGAAGCCGCAGACGATTCCCAAGCTGGTCGACCAGGCCACGATTCGGATAGCGTCAGTCACACGCAACCAGTCCGTTTCCACGTCAGGCTCTTATCCCGTTGACGCAGCACGTTTCCCTGACGACGTATCGCGTGGCGGTGCGTCTCAAGCCGTACGTTCGAGAATCTTCTGCTTCAGCGGGGAAAGAGATGCCGGCTGCGGGGGAAGAGAGGGGTGTTGGGGAAATTTGGAGGGAAGCAGCTGCTGGAGAGATAGATAGGGGGGGAGGTGGCGGAGCCAGAGGGGGGGAGGGCTGGGTACAGGAGGCGGGAGGTGATGGCGGAAGGGACGAGCGGCAGGTGTGGATGAGGGGGCTGGAAATGAGAGGAGGGAAGGAGGCGAGGAGGGGAGGGCAGCAGGTAATCCGGATGCAGCACAGACTGCAGAGCAGTGCACTCGAACTGGTGACGTCACTCGAGTTGGCAACTGTGCCCGACCAGAGGGAACGGCAAGGGATACAGAGGAAGCGAAGCCAGCAGAACCGTACGTTCGTGTGACAGGAGCAGAAGAAGAAGCAGCAGAAGAAGCAGGGGTGTTGGGTCCCAGGCACAGATTCACTGCAAGGCCCTTTGAATCTGGCTTGCGTGCTAGAGGGTTTCAGGGGTGGAAGAGTCGCAGCCGAGGCTTGGGCTTTGTGCGGTGCGGCAAGGCGGTGGGGAGCGCACAAGAGAGGAATTATAACAGACGGGATAGTAACGGGGATGATCAGCCAAGCCAAGCCAGCAGGAGCGGGTGGTGTAGGCATAGGAAAGGGGCGGATGCAGCGGGAAGGGGAAAGCAGAACGGCGGATGGGGTGCTTGCAAGGCTGGTGACTGCACTACTGACGCCTCTGGGAGTGCTGGTGAGGGCAATTTGCCTTGTTGCTCAAGTCAGAAGGAGCGTGCAGATTGTGATGACAGTTGTCGCGGGGGATGAGACATTTCAGGGAGGTGCCGCGTGCCACAAAGATGACACCAGGTGTTTCAAAGACGACACGTGCCTCACAAGAGACGACAGTGGGATGCGAACTAGACGACACATGGTCCGGCAGGAGGCAGGGCCGTGGGAGGCTTGGTGCTGACGTGGCGGTGAGTGAGTCAGCAGCGGATCAGCTGTGGGCGGCAGTGTAGGAGCTTTTGGAGTGCCCCGTCTGCTGCATGGAGCTGTCGGCTCCCATCTACCAGGTAACGTGTCATGTGCTACAACATAGCTCCTGTGACAATGCGTCATGTTCCATATTGGAGCCTGGATTTTTTTAGATGTCTAGCATGTTGTGTTATGTGCCAGAATGTAGCCTGTATGATTTCTGGTGCCACAGCATCTGGTGCTGACGGTCTGCAACAACCAGAGCACAAGGCGCGATTCGCCTCAACTCCAACGTCTACTCCCTTTCAGCCTCATATGGCCAATCTCGGTCCTACCTACTCGCCTGCCCCGTGTTCAACCCGTCTTTAGCCTTCTCCACACCCTGTCCTCAAGTCTTTCCCCCAATCCGTTCCTCTTTGCGACTCATTTTCCCTATGTCCACCTGCCATTCCAACCCCCCTACATCACAGTGTCACAGGGGCCATGTGATCTGCTCCTCCTGCATCAGCCACCTGGCGCATCATTCCTGTGCGCCTTCCGAACCTGCACATGCTGCTGCTGCTGGTATTCGTCTTAGCGCCAACTCCACACGTGCTGCTGCTGCTGCTGCTGCTGCACCTTTTGCTCCTTCCACTGCGGCTGCTTCCGGGCCTGCTGCTGGTGTAGCTGCTCGTGACAGTGCCATGCCATCACATGCAGCAGTGTGCTGCCCCATGTGCCGAGACCCCATTGGCCGTCCCGCACCCGGCATCAGATTGCCATGCAGGGGAAAAGGCTTGCAGCAGACTGGAAAACTGGGACAGCAGCAGGCTTGGTCACAGGCGCAGCAGCAGCGGCACCACTGGCTGCTGCGTCACTAGGAGGGGCTGTGTCGCTGATACATGCTTCAAGCTCTCCTCTGTTTGCGCCAGGACGAGTTGGAATTGAAGGCAATCATTCTCATAGCAGTTATGTGAGCCTTAGGGGGCGAAATCTTGGCGTAGGTGGGTCGTGGAGGGACGGGCGCATTACCAGCAGGGCTGGGGGAACGGGTGGGTCGGCTGCAGGAGCTAATTCTCAAGCCCAGTCGTCGTGCCTTATCAGGAATCTTGCTCTTGAACAGCTCGCGTCTACAGTGGCAGCCTTGCGTACTGCACATGCTCGCCAGGCTTCACATGTACCTTAGAGTAAGGCCTTTTTCTGTACATAACATGTTTGCCGTAGAGTGTACGTCATATCGTAGTACAGCATGGTCCAGCTCATGGCATCTACACATGTGTGACCACCGTTCATTTCAAATTTGACTGATAAGAACATGGAATGTGCTTGACTAACAAATGGCAACATGTTTAGTAACATGTAAGGGCGTGCCACCCCGGACTAAAACAGGCTGTTCGATCGCCCAAATTCTCGGGGTTAAGTCGTGTAGAGTACGTTAAATGAAGATTCGGTTTGGTTCAGTACGGTGCCTGCTCGAACAGGCCCGTTGGAACGTTATAAGTGACACACCCTAACCGAAGCGACTGGCACATTGTCACAAGGACTGTGCCATGATAATGTGTTGGCGATGGTAAGCTATAGGGGCAATAGTGTATCAACAAGTGTTTGTTTTCTTGGGTTCGAGGCACATGGATGTGTGTGGACGCATCATTGATATACTTATGCTCTGCTACATGCTATGAAGGTGAGATTTGTGAATATTAATGGACACAATGATGGTATACCTGTCAGACAATTGACATACTACTTGAACGAACCAACATCCAATCTGTGACAGTTATATCCGGTTAGGATAATGCAAGCGTCAAAATCGAGGTGGGCACCTTGACAGAATATTTGTGCCGCAACAAGGGGAGCGCACGCATGCTGTTCGGCATTTTCATACGTGGACACTGCGCGGCAATCTTTCGGCCAATAAAAACCCGGATGTAGACGTGTCTGCGTCCAGCTCAGACGTGGAATCCCAAGGTATCTGGGCCAGCCACGAACCTCCTCTGGGCGCATGAAGAAGTGCCCCACCCCGAAATCAGGTGTGCTCCCCTGAAGTCCTTGCGCGGAGCATTTGTAGGCAGAAGCTTGTTCAGGTTCAGGGATCTTCAGACCAGTTGTAAGCAGTAGGAATTTTATATATTGTTTGGGTGTTTGGTTTAGGGGCTGGTCCTTCCAAGTTTGCCTTCGAAGTAGACACGCTTCTTGAGCAGAAGCCGCTGACCATGGAGGGTGCTGCTGCTGTCGTGACGGAGGTCTCTAAGCATGCTGTGGGATCCCTCCCTGATACGTTTTTGAATGTCTTTATCCCTACAACTGCAGTTGTTGGCATTTTCTTCGCTATTTTCCAATGGTTCATGGTCTCTCGCATCCGTGTCGGCGGTGCTCCGGACGGCCAGTACGGACTTTTGGAAGATGGGACAGCAGACACTGTGCTCCAGCAGGTTTCTGAGATCCAGTCTGCTATCTCCATGGGTATGTGAATAAAATAACACCCGGCATGTATCCTTGACCACGAATGTTTTCCTTCGGAGCCGAAATTTGACGTTCTGATACTTTGCTTTCCGCAGGTGCTGAGTCCTTCTTGACCACGGAGTACAAGTACCTGGCCGTCTTCATGAGCGGATTTTCCGTGATCATCTTCCTCTTCCTCGGATCTGTCGACAACTTCGATAAGCAGGGTATCGCCAACGCTGGTTTCAGCACCTTGGCCTTCATCCTTGGGGCTCTGACCTCAACAGGATCCGGATACCTCGGCATGAAGATCGCTACATGTAAGTTTTTTTTTTCTATTTTCCCTGGTAACGGTATTTTCATCAGCTTGTCGATCACGGGTTATGTTTCAACTAATTTTCGTTGCAGATGCCAACGCGAGGACCACCTTGGAAGCCAGGAAAGGAATTCCTGCGGCATTTGTCGCTGCATTCCGCGCTGGATCGGTCATGGGTTTCCTCCTGTCGGCGAACGGACTGCTTGTGTTGTTCTTGACCATTCTCGCGTACAGGAAGTACTACGGCGATGACTGGGCCGGTCTTTACGAGTCCATCACAGGCTACGGTCTTGGTGGTTCATCTGTGGCCCTGTTTGGTCGTGTTGGCGGTGGCATTTACACCAAGGCTGCTGATGTCGGTGCGGATCTCGTGGGCAAGATTGAGAGGAACATTCCCGAGGACGATCCCAGGAACCCTGCTGTAAGTACTACTATCAAGTGGTATTCTAGAATTTATATCTGAAACCTTGTGAATAATACTGATGCTTTTTCATCTGTACAGGTTATCGCTGACAACGTGGGAGACAATGTGGGTGACATTGCTGGCATGGGTTCTGACCTGTTCGGCTCTTTTGCCGAGTCGACCTGCGCGGCCCTTGTGATCTCGGCCCTGTCTCAGCCTGGGAAGGACCATGATTTCTCCGCCATGTGCTTCCCTCTTCTGGTCAGCGGTGCCGGTATTCTCGTGTGCCTGATCACCACCATCATCGCCACGGATATTCAGCAAGTGAAGGAGAAGGCTGAGATTGAGCCGGCATTGAAGAAGCAGCTGGTCATCTCCACTGTGCTGATGACTCCTGTGATCTTCCTCGTTGCGTTCTACGCTCTTCCGCCTACCTTCAAGATCACAGTTGTCGGACAGGGCGACAAGGTTGTTCAGAACTGGTGAGTCCGTCTCCGAAATTCGTTGCGCTTGCACTTGTGAATGGTATCATCGGCATTGCGCTAAACATTTCACCTTATCTTGTAGGTACGCATTCGCGTGCGTCGCATCGGGACTTTGGGCTGGGCTCCTTATCGGTTTCGTCACCGAGTACTTCACGAGCAATGCTTATGTGTAAGTGGGTGGTTTTGTGATTCCTTTCCTCTTTCCTTTTCCTAGCATCTCGTCAACCCCTCGAAGAATAATCTGCACTAAGCTAACACATGGAATAAGGTGAACGAATCACTGATTCAAGAGTCTCATCTGAACTCCAGGCCTGTTCAAGACGTTGCTGACTCTTGCCGTACTGGTGCGGCAACCAACATCATCTTTGGCCTTGCCCTTGGCTACAAGTCGGTTATTATTCCGGTGTTCGCTATTGCTGCTGCGATCTACGTGAGCTTCCAGTTCGCTGGCATGTACGGCATTGCCCTGGCTGCTCTTGGCATGCTGAGCACTCTTGCAACTGGTCTGGCCATTGATGCGTATGGGCCAATCAGTGACAATGCTGGTGGCATTGCTGAGATGGCGGGTATGGGTGAGGAGATCCGTGAGCGCACCGATGCTCTGGATGCTGCTGGAAACACCACTGCTGCTATTGGCAAGGTAACAAGTCATTTGCGTGGCATGTCTTTGTGTTGTGCTGTTTCCCTTTGGTGTCAATCTAAAGTAGCGTTTCTTGTTATCTACTTGCAGGGCTTTGCCATTGGTTCTGCTGCACTCGTGTCCCTTGCTCTGTTTGGAGCTTATGTCAGCCGGGCCAAGGTTAACGTGGTCAATGTTACTGAGCCCCAGGTATGCTTTTTCAAATTACTGCATTACTGTGAAGCACTTCCAGCCAGTTGTGTGGTGACTAAATCTTTACATGCATCTCTGTTGGATGCAGGCCTTCGTCGGGCTCCTTGTTGGTGCTATGCTGCCCTACTGGTTCTCTGCCATGACCATGAAGAGTGTGGGCAAGGCTGCTCTTGCAATGGTGGAGGAGGTCCGTCGCCAGTTCAACACGATGCCCGGCCTGATGGAGGGAACCACGAAGCCAGACTACAAGAAGTGCGTGGAGATCTCAACTGCTGCCTCTCTGCGTGAGATGATTCCCCCTGGCGCGCTTGTGATGCTCAGCCCTGTGATTGCGGGAACCCTGTTTGGAACCACCACCCTGGCTGGCATGCTGGCGGGTGCGCTGGTGTCTGGCGTCCAGATTGCCATTTCTGCGTCCAACACTGGTGGTGCGTGGGACAATGCCAAGAAGTACATTGAGGCTGGAAACTCTGCTCATGCCAAGAGCCTTGGTCCCAAGGGCTCTGATCCCCACAAGGCTGCAGTTATTGGCGACACTGTTGGTGATCCGCTGAAGGACACATCAGGCCCGTCCCTGAACATTCTGATCAAGCTGATGGCTGTGGAGTCGCTGGTGTTTGCTCCCTTCTTTGCCACCCATGGCGGCATCATCTGGGGTGGCAAGTAGACAATTGAAGCATTAGCATTGTCAGTGCGTAGGATGTTTTGTTTGTGATGTGTAAGGATCATCGGTAATGACCTTGTGTTTGCTTTTGGCATCTTGCTGAGTTCATAAAGAAAAATATTTCAAATCTGAGGATACATACAGAAACCTGTGATTGAAGGAATGGTTTTTGAAATTATGATCTATCTCATAATGGGTTGTTTATACTACATTTTCGATGTTCTTACTAATGGATTGTTTATACTGGTACGTAAGATCATTTCATAAATTCATTTTGATGAGGTTGATTTTTTTAGGGGAAAGATCATTTCAATAATAAAACGTACAAATCAACCCCATCAAATGAAAAATCTTCATGTAGCTCTTCCTTTCTAACTTTTCTCACAATCACAAATGTGGAAGGTAGCAAGCTCCAGAACTTGTCATGAGCTTCCTGTTGTCGTAGTCGGTAACCAAGCACCAGCGTCGTTTTCTTGTCACTTACTGCTGCCATTGTAGTTATCAACCTCTCGACATCTTCCTCTATGTACACCACATCAGTCACAATGACAAAGTCGAACGGAGGCTTGACTGAACAAATGTGCTTGTCATTGCCCCAGTACAGTTGCACAGGCTTGAGCTTTCCTGGTGCTGAAAACGATGATTTGTAAGCCTCGGATAGCGAGTTGAGGTTCCTCTTCAAATTCCGTTTCAGAATAGGGAGGACTGGCTGTATGTCTGTCGCAGTGACATCACAGCCAAGCAAGGCCATAGCCATTCCTGCGGCATGTGAAAAGGTGGGAAGGAAATCCGACTTAATTGCATGATTCGCAGTCGCGGCGAAGTGAGTAGGGGGAAGACCCAAAGAACCATGAAAGACCACGAGCTTATTACCAGCTATGCCGCATCCCGCTCCAAGCTCGACCGCTCGTTTTCCAGCGACCTTCGAGCCTGAGAGCTCGCATTCGTCGTTTTCGAAATTCTTCTCTAGCCATTTTGCGAACACTAGTGAGGCCTCCCAGACGCTCGTCCCTACGTGCATAGATTCGTTATCCTGCACTATACTTAAGGGCTGACCCCATAACTGCAAATCCACAGTTCGCTCTGCCGAAAACCACATGAGCCTAGATAGTGTGAAAACTGTGCTGGAAAAGCTAAGGCACACAGCTCGAAATTGTTGCTTTACGACTTCCGTGAAGAGTTCGTGGGAAAGAGAGGTGAATTGGTGTTGTGAACAGGCGGAAATGAGATTTAGGGGACATGCAAAATTCTGTGTTAGTGGCGGGGACAAGGGATTGGATCAGGGTGGACTGCATGTGTTCAGATTTTCGTAGGACACAAAAACCTTGTGATTCAATTCGCGAGCCTATTGTCGAACTCAAACCTCTATTGTATCACTGATTGCACAAAAACTGCTAACCAATCGAATCGAAGCCTCCAGGTGCACTTTCATATGTGTACTTCAAGCGGCTATCAGTTCCCAATAGCGAGTAGAGATTTCACGTGTCGCAGCCAGATCGGATGCACAGCGCAGCTCCGCAGCATTTTCCCCGCTGGCGAATTTCTTGAATCCTGATCTGCCTGTCCATGGCCCTCATCCCAGGAATTCCCGTAAAAGCCCCAATTTCTTGTCGACTGGTCAGATAACCAGTTAGCAGGAAGTGCTTCAAGCTCTAGCACCAGCCGAATAATCACCTGTTTTGACTGCTCAGCTTGTCAGCCATGGCTGATGCTGTGACACTCGTCACGGAGGTCTCTAAGCATGCGCATGGGGCACTTCCTGATTTGTTCCTGAATGTTTTTATTCCAACAACTGCAGTTGTTGGCATTCTCTTCGCTATCTTCCAATGGATCATGGTCTCTCGCATCCGTATTGGAGGTGCTCCCGATGGCCAGTACGGTCTTTTGGAAGATGGGACTGCAGACACTGTCATCCAGCAGGTTGCTGATATTCAGTCCGCCATTTCCATGGGTAAGTAAAACATACAGCATTCTGTTCTTGCATATATCAGTTCTCAAGCTACCTTTGCCCACCGTTATTAGGTGCATTCACCAGAACCGTTCAATGTGCTCCCGGCATGACGAGTTTCCTTGCCTTTGTACAGGTGCGGAATCGTTCCTGACCACGGAGTACAAGTATCTGGCCGTCTTTATGAGCGGCTTTTCCGTGATCATCTTTCTCTTCCTTGGATCCGTCGACAACTTCGATAAGCAGGGCATTGCCAATGCTGGTTTCAGCACTTTGGCATTCGTCCTCGGGGCGCTGACATCGACGGGTTCGGGATACCTCGGCATGAAGATTGCTACATGTAAGCACCACATATTTTGCTGTTTTCCCCGTAACAGATATCCGTCGATCAGCTCGGTCACTATCTTTACCTATTTTAACTCCAACATTTCTTCGATGATGGTGCAGATGCCAACGCGAGGACCACCATGGAAGCTAGAAAGGGAATTCCTGCAGCATTCGTCGCTGCTTTCCGCGCTGGATCGGTCATGGGTTTCCTCCTGTCGGCAAACGGGCTGCTGGTGTTGTTCCTGACCATCCTCGCGTACAGGAAGTACTACGGCGATGACTGGGCCGGCCTGTACGAGTCCATCACAGGTTACGGCCTTGGTGGTTCATCTGTGGCCCTGTTTGGTCGTGTTGGTGGTGGTATCTACACCAAGGCTGCCGATGTTGGTGCGGATCTCGTGGGCAAGGTTGAGAGGAACATTCCCGAGGACGATCCCAGGAACCCTGCTGTAAGTACTTCTACCAAGTGGCTTTCCAGCGTTTAATCTGAGACCTTCTGAACAATGCTGATGCATCTTTCATCCTTACAGGTGATTGCTGACAACGTGGGGGACAATGTGGGTGACATTGCGGGCATGGGTTCTGACCTGTTCGGCTCCTTCGCCGAGTCGACCTGCGCGGCGCTTGTGATCTCAGCCCTGTCTCAGCCTGGAAAGGACCACGATTTCTCCGCCATGTGCTTCCCTCTTCTGGTCAGCGGTGCCGGTATTCTCGTGTGCCTGATCACCACCATCATCGCCACGGATATTCAGCAAGTGAAGGAGAAGGCTGAGATTGAGCCGGCATTGAAGAAGCAGCTGGTCATCTCCACTGTGCTGATGACTCCTGTGATCTTCCTCGTTGCGTTCTACGCTCTTCCGCCTACCTTCAAGATCACAGTTGTCGGACAGGGCGACAAGGTTGTTCAGAACTGGTGAGTCCGTCTCCGAAATTCGTTGCGCTTGCACTTGTGAATGGTATCATCGGCATTGCGCTAAACATTTCACCTTATCTTGTAGGTACGCATTCGCGTGCGTCGCATCGGGACTTTGGGCTGGGCTCCTTATCGGTTTCGTCACCGAGTACTTCACGAGCAATGCTTATGTGTAAGTGGGTGGTTTTGTGATTCCTTTCCTCTTTCCTTTTCCTAGCATCTCGTCAACCCCTCGAAGAATAATCTGCACTAAGCTAACACATGGAATAAGGTGAACGAATCACTGATTCAAGAGTCTCATCTGAACTCCAGGCCTGTTCAAGACGTTGCTGACTCTTGCCGTACTGGTGCGGCAACCAACATCATCTTTGGCCTTGCCCTTGGCTACAAGTCGGTTATTATTCCGGTGTTCGCTATTGCTGCTGCGATCTACGTGAGCTTCCAGTTCGCTGGCATGTACGGCATTGCCCTGGCTGCTCTTGGCATGCTGAGCACTCTTGCAACTGGTCTGGCCATTGATGCGTATGGGCCAATCAGTGACAATGCTGGTGGCATTGCTGAGATGGCGGGTATGGGTGAGGAGATCCGTGAGCGCACCGATGCTCTGGATGCTGCTGGAAACACCACTGCTGCTATTGGCAAGGTAACAAGTCATTTGCGTGGCATGTCTTTGTGTTGTGCTGTTTCCCTTTGGTGTCAATCTAAAGTAGCGTTTCTTGTTATCTACTTGCAGGGCTTTGCCATTGGTTCTGCTGCACTCGTGTCCCTTGCTCTGTTTGGAGCTTATGTCAGCCGGGCCAAGGTTAACGTGGTCAATGTTACTGAGCCCCAGGTATGCTTTTTCAAATTACTGCATTACTGTGAAGCACTTCCAGCCAGTTGTGTGGTGACTAAATCTTTACATGCATCTCTGTTGGATGCAGGCCTTCGTCGGGCTCCTTGTTGGTGCTATGCTGCCCTACTGGTTCTCTGCCATGACCATGAAGAGTGTGGGCAAGGCTGCTCTTGCAATGGTGGAGGAGGTCCGTCGCCAGTTCAACACGATGCCCGGCCTGATGGAGGGAACCACGAAGCCAGACTACAAGAAGTGCGTGGAGATCTCAACTGCTGCCTCTCTGCGTGAGATGATTCCCCCTGGCGCGCTTGTGATGCTCAGCCCTGTGATTGCGGGAACCCTGTTTGGAACCACTACCCTTGCTGGCATGCTGGCGGGTGCGCTGGTGTCTGGCGTCCAGATTGCCATTTCTGCGTCCAACACTGGTGGTGCGTGGGACAATGCCAAGAAGTACATTGAGGCTGGAAACTCTGCTCATGCCAAGAGCCTTGGTCCCAAGGGCTCTGATCCCCACAAGGCTGCAGTTATTGGCGACACTGTTGGTGATCCCCTGAAGGACACATCAGGCCCGTCCCTGAACATTCTGATCAAGCTGATGGCTGTGGAGTCGCTGGTGTTTGCTCCCTTCTTTGCCACTCACGGTGGCATCATCTGGGGAGGCAAGTAGATGAGATCTGGTTCTGTGAGGTAGTTGTGTTTCGGCTCGAAGATTTGTGATCTCTTTGTGACGTTTTGGAGATATCTAGGGCAGACATGTTTGAGGTGATGTTTGGGTAGTAGAATGTAGTGACATATGGTGTAGTGTCATGATTCCATGACATGTGTGGCTGTATTGAGCATGATTGTTAGTTGATTTTCATGCAAGACGAGTTGTTGATTTTCATGCAAAACGAGTTTGTAACAGAAAGGGAGGGATTTTGATTGAGCAAAACGATACAGGTCTGTACACAGATCAAGAATATGCAGCTGACATAGGGTAACTTTCTGTACTTTCACAGCCTGTCTTGGTATTTTAATGATCAACATGAAAGTGATGCTGGTATGTTAATGTCCGTCATGCCAAAACATCAGTCAAGCTGCTTGTCGCACAATACCATATGCTGGAAAACCTGTCCTAACCCCAGGTGTAGGCTTGATTTCAAGGTCTGGGCATCTAGACATGAGAAATGCAAGGCAATGGAAAGATAGCGGCACACCCCACAAGTTGAGTTCTCTCAGTTGCATACATCCTGCCACCACAGCTAGAACTCCCTTGTCCGTCACTTTACGACATCCCCACAAATTCAGAATCTGCAGGATAAGGGGTGGACAAAAGGACATTTAAACCATGTCACCAGGAGTGAAACGCAACAGATTGCTTCAAGACTCGGGGCCAGGAGAACCAACCTCCAGAGATGGGCATGAACGGGCAATGTTGAAGATTGAAGATGAGGTGACACAGGTTCCTCCCAAGTTTAGATGCTTGAGCCCCTTGCACTTCACCACCTGCATGGATGGAGGCAAGCCTCAAGAAAGTCTCTCAGTCTGCTATCATGCACGCATGTATGCCTCCAGGAAAGTCGCAATGTACACCATAGATAGCAATAGCGGCAATGACTGGCCAACCAAACCTGGAGGCATTTATTGCAAGTACGTATGGTCTGATAAAACAGGCCTCGTACCCAGGAAGTACGTGAGATCCATCCCACACATGACTTTGCTGCTAGTTCCTGCGTCTGCTTGACTTGGAGTCTCTCTGGAATGGGTGTTCTACTTGCCGACATACCCCTCAGTTCATAAGCTTGTAAAACTGCAATGACATGCAGTATTTTGTCAATTATGACCGGAACGAGGCATGATGAGGCAAGAGGCTTACCAGTCGGCAGATGCCAGCATCAGAGACGCCCTTCACTCCCCACAGAGATAATGACTGAAGCTGGCAAACAGGAGTAGCCTTACTGGCAGCCTCGAGTGATGCATCTGACAAGCGGCAACCACATCTGCACATGAAGGAACCACAGCATGTTTATCCAACTTAAGCTACAACGAGACTCTGACCACGCTCGAGCTGTTGAACGGATTAGTAGTGCACGTGGGTTGATGCTTTTGACAGCGAATCCACGTACAGGTCGAGCTCTGTGACGACGCAAGCCATGGGAATGATTGATGGCAGGGCGAATTCCGGATTACGGCACTTGGCGAAGGTTAAGCGCTGTCGATGCCCCCATAATCGCACTGCTGCATTACGCCAAGACCTCGAAACTCTGGCGGCACTGTAACGCGCGATGGGCGAGCAGAAAAAAAATACATGACGCGAATCTCGAAACAAGGCGGTGGGAATTGAGATAGAATTTGCAGACTACATGAGTATCCTAGAACTCGCCTTGCAATGTCATGATACGAGCGAAGGTGTTGGAAGCAATGAATCAGAACATCTTCGGGGAGTTCTGGCGGCTCTTTGTAATCGTCGTGAAGGTCTTCCGAGGAAGTTTCTGCACCATCATCGTCATCGTGTCTCTCTGACCACCATGCTGATCCATCATCTCTAGGATTTCCCCAGAAGCAACTGCGCCATGTGTCACTATACACCCAGAAATCTATACAGGTTATGCCGCTGACTTATGTACACGAAAGGGAGCGGATAAACGCTACCAACGGACCATGGTACTCGTGCCGCTTTGGACCACACGCGTGGCAGGCAGGCCAACAAACGATCACGAAGCACAGGCCACGTGAGCTTACGCTAGTCTAGAATGACAGTGACAATGGTCGCTACAATTCGCTAAGCCTTGCTAAATTCAACTTCAGTTCCTATACCTAACCCCACTCTTCAGCCACATCCGTGGCATTACAACGCACAACGCACACCTGATCTCTCTTCTCTTCTCCCTCGCATTCCTAAACCAAAGCGAACACAGACCGTCCTGTGTTACTCTTGCTGGCAGTTTAGTCTTCAGCTCCTCTCACAGAAGTCGTCCTGGTTCCTTGCTTCTAGCTTGGACCATGGTTTCGTGTCGTGGGTTGTTGTGTTGTGATAGATCATAGAGATCAGGTGGAAACCTGGGCAGGAAAGGCTGGCATACAACACACCGCTGGATGGAAAAAGCGCCCAGAATTGGCCAGTGATTCTCGAGGTCGAGTCAGCAGGGAGCACGTTGATTGGTCATCTGAACTCCTACCAATAATGTCAGCCCCACTTTCGTTCGAGGGCAGCAGAAACTTGTCCAGCGCTGCGGAGCACTCTCACGTGCCTGCCGAAATTGGGTCATTCCGTCCACACCCAACTTTGCAGACAAGAAACGCGTTTCTAGTTTTCTCGCTATAAAAACAATGAATCACGTGTGTAACACTTCACAGGTACTGAATCATACCTCTTCCGCAATGCTGAGTTACAGTAAACTCCTGCCTGTTAGCTAGGAGCACACCTCCACATAACTCCGCGGCCGCGGTTGCCAGTTGAGAAAACTTCATTAGGTTACTAGCATAATCGTACCCGCAAGTTTCCGCTCACCATGGGTGGATTGTTTGGAGATTTACCTCCGCCTTCCGACGCGGACAAGGCCCCGTCGGACGCAAATCCTTCCGCGGCTTCCGCTTCCGCATCTTCCGCCGGTCGTCCGAAGCTATGGTCCGCCAAAATGACTCCCGCTGCGCTGCGAAAGCCCTCCGCTGCGGCCCTCTTTGCTCCGCCAACGTCCGTCCTCCGCAGTCAGTCGCTTTCCGCGTCCAGTGCGGCTTCCCCCTCAGCAAAATCGGCTCGTTTGCCGGCCCCGCCGCCGCCGCCAGTAAGCAGCGCAAGCGGGGGAACAAGTACATCCGCAATCGTCGCCGCAGCTGCTGCAGCAGCAGCTGCAGCGGCAGCAGCATCGGGACTGGGTCCGGGAGCTGGAGGAACGGAAGCGCAGGCAACCCCAATGGCAGTTGATTCCGCTTCCGCCGGCGAGGCTACTCCCCCCTTCCCTTCCGCCTACTCCGCGCAACTTCCCCTACCTCACGCCCCCGCGTATCCCCCTGATCCACGCTTCGCCGCTCATCCAGGATATCAGGCGCCTCCGCCCCCCTACGACAGCGCAGCCGCAGCGTTTCCTCCGCCCGTCCCCCCCTATGGTTCCGCGCCTCCCCTTCCCCCGTATCCCCCCCCGGGCTCTGCCCCTGCGCCTCCACCTCCGCCTGCACCTGCGCCTGCTCCCCCTGTCCTGCCGCCAGGTGGCGGAGCCGCATTAGTTGCTGCAGCTGCTGCAGTAGTAGACGAATACGACCCGGCTAGACCTAATGACTACGAGAAGATACTAAGGGAGAGGAAGAGGAAGGCTGCTGAGGAGGAGAGGCGGCGGGAGATGGAGAGGAGGAGGAGGGAGGAGGAGGAGCGGGAGAAGGAGCGGGAGGCAGTGCTGCAGCGGCAGAGAGACCTTGAGCTCGCGATCAAGGCTGAACGTGAGGTAGGTGCTACAGTGCGCATTGGGGATACCTCACGCACTTAACCACGTTCAGTGAGGTAGGACCTTGACGCATTGGGGGCATATCCACTCACTTGAGTCAAGGCAAGAGACCAACAGAAAGTTGCTCTGGTGTTACAACAAACATGCTCGCACACTTAACCATTTATGTGAGATGAAGGTTTGAGGTACGATGAAGCCTTTTCTCACATCAATCAGCCTCTGAATTCGGACACAGTAGCGCCTAAACCTTCACTCTGACTTTTCTGTCTGTTGACATCCGTTTCTGCAGCGTGCAGCAGCAGCCAAGGCAGCAGAGCAGGAGGGGGGCGCGTCAGCATCACCAGCAGCAGCTGCAGCCTCTGCTGGCACGGAACGCTCCCAGCTGCGTGTCAGTGGGGAGGAGGCCTGGCGCCGCAGAGCCATGCTGAGTGGAGGGGGGGCAGGAGGGGGAGCAGCGGGGGGACTAGGAGCAGCAGCGGGAGGAGCATCGGCGAGTCCACGAGCGGCAGAGAGATCGCCATCTCCTCCTAAGTGAGACTTCTTAACTTTTATTGAAGCAGTACATCTGGTTTTCTTTTCTTTGCATGGCTGGTCATGGCTGTTCATCAACCAGCAAACGCGTCAAATGTTCAGTTGCTTGCTAGTCCGTTCAGTTTCTAGCCTGTGAGCATGACATCCCATGGCATCAATTCTCGGCTGTCTTAAATTCACCCAACTCGACTCTGCTGTTACACTCGACAGGTCTGACGGGTTTGCCATGCCCAAGAATTCCGGCGACGGGTTGACAGCAGCAGAGCGGATGATGATGAAGATGGGATGGAAGGCTGGGCAAGGGCTGGGTAAGCAGGAGCAGGGTATCACCACGCCTCTCATGGCAAAGAAGACGGACAAGCACGGAGGAGTGATTGTGGCTGCCAAGCCGCTCAAGAAAGGTGGTGGAGGGGAGGGAGGGGAGAATAATGCTGCTGGTGCTGGTGGGAAGAGGGCGAAGCTGGGCGGTGTGGCACTCAACGGGCCTCCATCGAAGGTTGTCCTGCTAAGAAACATGGTATGTTTGCTCCTCCCATATTTTATACACAAGCACCCATGTTGGAAACAAGCAATTGCGATATGTGGTTTTGGTGCTGATTATGCTGGTCCTGTGCTCAGGTTGGTCCTGGAGAGGTGGATGCAGAGTTGGAAGAGGAAGTGGCAGGTGAGTGTCTCAAATATGGCACTGTAACACGGGTGCTTATATTTGAGATTACAGATCCTTCCTGTCGACCAGTGGAAGCTGTTCGCATATTCATCACCTTTGATCGGACGGAGTCGGCTACCAAGGCACTCGTAGACCTCGATGGAAGATTTTTCGGTGGAAGAACAGTACGGGCATGCTTCTTTGATGAAGAAAAGTTCAAGAAGAATGACCTAGCGCCAGGTCCAAATGAGCCGCCTGTTCCCGACTTTCAGAAAGCCTAGGGTGCCATTTTTCGATACTGGTTTCTGTTCTGATCATGTTGGTTGTGTCTTAATTGTAATGGTTGCATTCTATATTGCACCATTTCTTATTCCACACTGGAAGCTCTGTATAATTGGCTGTGAGAAGGAATACACTATTCAGTGCAAATCGACATTCGTAATTAGGAACTCTGTATAGAGTACAACACCTCCTCGATTTGCCGATGCGCTGGGGACCCTCATGAACACGAACAGAGCTCATTTTCACTGCTTGCCATTCCATTGCACAATATGTTTCGAGCTTTCAAGCTACCTTGGACATTCGGTTGCTGCCATCCCAAAGACAAGCCAACTCCAATATCCACGAGCTGGCAGTTGTGCCGTTCCGCCATGATGACTCCCGACGAGAATGTTCTAAAGTCTGTGGAGAATAAGGAGGTGCGGAATGTAGTAGTGGGGTGATCCTATCGTTAAGTGTTTTTTACGTGTGAACTTACCCTGGATGCTCTACAGCCAAGGAAGTCGACAGTGAAGGATCTTGCGAAGAAGTTTGACCTCAAGCCTAACTTATCGGTTCAGGGACCCAAGGTCGTCTCTAGGGATTATGACGTAAGCATCTATCTGCTGCAAGCAATCCGCCATTGCCGCTGCTCGCCTGAATATTTCACGTAACTGACAGGACGCTGAGGGAAGGCTGACCAAGTCAGAATTGGAAGAACTAAAGACTCGTTTGGAAAAACTTTATCTTCTGCTGGATGGCAGCCAGCGGGATGAAGTCGGCTCAATCTTGGAGATTGTGAGCACCAAAGAAGTGCGCGGAGTCGCTTTCAATGCAACAGTGGGTAAAGCCGTACTGTTGTTTCTCAGGTTGGCAAGGCTTTGCGCCGGAGGTCCAGCGATCGCTCGGAAAACAAATGGACGGAAATCCCGCTCAAGTCAACAGACCTGCAAAACCAGGCTAGTGTTATCAGATCATGGTTTGAGGGGAGCCTCTTCGTCTTAGCTGTGCTAAATTTCTTCGTAAGTTACAGGGAGATGATGATGCGCTTTTATCACTGCTCGCATCAAAGGGGGAAGAGGTTTCGCGTCTTAAGGCAGAAGTGATGGAGCTCAAGTCTCGCATGGTCGGCGAGCGGGGGATTATGAGCTACGAGATTCAAGGAAGTGAAGAGCTAGGGAACCTTCTGTTCGTGGTTGCATTGTCTGATGACGTGGCGCACCCATCCCAGTGTAACATTCGCTGGTATCGATCCAGCAAAGATGGGAAGCATACTCAGCTTATCATAGGTAGTTCGTAGTCATCACTTACCGTCATCATACATCGCCAACCGTTCTATTCTTAATCTTTCTGATTGCACTTAACCACCAAGTAAAATGCATTTGCAGGCGCGGAAGGGACTATGTATGCAACTGAGCCTGAAGACCTGGGCTGCGTCATTCAGGCGGCGATTGAATCATCGTCAGCTTGTCAAGGAATTATGTTTCTGACAACAGGGGAGATCCAACCAGGTCAGATAACGTTGGGATTTAGTCACATGAAGATTGTAGCCGCAGCTGATTTGTGTCTCTGCTTCCAGGGAGCATGTACGAGACGCTGCTGGCTCAGACGGTCCTTCTTAATGACGTCCAGTTTTCGGTATGAAGTCCTTTAGTTGCACTTTGATTCGTGTATGTGGTCAATCTGCAACTAATTCTTGTGTTCAGGTCCTCATATGCAACAGTGATGGGAGCACAACTGCTAATGTAGATCAGGCTCTGTTGCGAATCAACAAAGCGCGGGTGAAATTGGTCACCACCTCAAACTCATTAGTTAGGAGAGAGTCGTATAACCAAGCAATGCAGGTAAGGCACCTCTGACTTGTCGCAACAGGTGGGTGTTTCTTATGGGGATTGAGGCGTGGCAAATGGCAGTTCTATGGGCTTCGGTGGAGCACCAATTCTTCTTCTCTTGGTGCTTGCTGGGTTCCGCGCAAGGGTGTGATGTTCAACATCATGTTCCAGTCCATCACAGAGAGGAACATAGCCATTCAAGTAGCAAAGACCTACGCCAGCAAGCTGAAGGTGGGCATGAAGTACAGTATGATGCATTGGCCGGACACACTGTTACGGTTCGGTACCAACTAACTCTGCTTGCCTTTTTCAGATTGATGTTTCGGGGCCAGAAGGCCATTTTCATGGTCATGATGAGTGATACGGTAGGACTGAAATGGTGCAGAACTGGGGAGGAATGAGAGGTCAAAAAGAAAACACCACGGCAGATGTGACGAAGGGGTTGGGTGGGTTGGGTGAAGGAACGGTGGGGCACTGGTTCAGGGGGTGGGGATGGGGCCGTTGTGAAGACTCTGCGTCGCGCACCGGGATGCAATAGGTGTTTGTGGTGCTTGGGTACAAAGCAGCAGTAGCATACAGCAGCAAGCTTCTTGTGTACACTGCAATGTTCTACAACATAACTATGAGTGCATATAAGTATGGGTATAATGTAAGCACAAAGCTGACGTACTAAAATGGCCAGAGGACAAGAACACAAGATGTGTGCCTCCCCTCGATCAGCCACAACAACGCAGAAATGTTTACCAGATGCAACGCGCTTGGAAAGGAAGCATCTCCTAAACTACAGCTTCTTGAAAGCCTGATATGTCTCTGCGGTAACTGGGTCGCCGATGCTGGACTTGAGCCAGCACTCGTTGCCCCATGTCGTTACAGCAAGAGCACACTGGGTGTTGACTTTACAGAGCATCAAGCAGTCCACTGCCTTGACAGGGTACTGATATTCCAAGGTTTCGCCAAATGGAAAATTGGTGGCCATGGGTGCAGGAGCGAATCCATGGTCTGTTTCGAGGGACAAGTTGGGGGTGGGTTAGCCAGGGGTGTGAAAGAAAGGTAATGACATGGGAATTAACACCAGCGCAAACGGGTAGCTGAAGAGGCTTACCATGTGGGTTGATGCAGCTTGAGCTGTTCTTCCCCTCTTTAACCTGGCAGATAAAGGAGCCACAGCCACCATTGTTGAAGGAACAAGAGCCAGACTGTGAAGCCAGAACATCCCATAACTGTAAGCTTGTTTCTAGGTACTCCTCCTCGGAAGTTGTATAAACTTCCGAGCTGATGGTCAGGTTTGTGCTTGGATCTTCGTAACCCTCAGGTGTCCAGATTGATTCCTGCTTCTTTTTCCTGTAGTAGGACGTGGCAAAGCTGCTGACACGGACGCCACTGGAACAGGTTCCTGAGTAGGAATTGCCTCCGTTACCAAAACCAGTGCAGCTTGTTCCATCTGCCTCAACCCCAGCATTGCCACACTTGCCATTGACGCAGGTTGGTGCAATCGTACATGCTTTCGCACGGATCGCATAACACTTGACACACTTCACTGCACAAGGTTGCAATGTGCACAGGCGGTGGACACATGAATGAAGTAAAACTGGACCAGAGCGCAAACGACGAGAGAAGGACATGAAATAAAGAAGAACAGCACCTCTCTCACCTTTTCCGCATGGCATGTGGCCAAACTGCAGCATAAAATCAATGACTCCTGATGGGTCAAGCTTAGCAGCATTCTCCAGATTAATTGTGAAATCCAAAAACCCCAGCGTCCCCACCAGTCCTTTCCCTGTCTTGAACGCATGCTCTGATATCACATAGTGTGAATTTTTGAATTCTTCCAGTGCTGCTTCCTTGTCCTCTGTTCCAGGATCCACAAACGTAATTGTGCTCCGATCATTCCCCTGAGCAGGCTTGGCATAGCTTGCGATGAACAGAGCAGTGAGAGCCCGACTAGCGATAGTTTTCTGGGCAATAGTAAGAAAATCCGATCTCTTTTTCAGGTGGGACAGCATTGGTGGGAAGATTTTCTTCCACCACTGTGACACAAGACAGTAAGGAGGGCAGACCGGGAAAAAAGGGCAGATGAGTTGAGTTGGAAGGCAGGATGGTTGTTTTAAGAGGTGCATGCACAGTGGCTGCTGAAAGAACACACATAGAAGTTTGAAAGAAACCGGTGGTGTGGCGTGGATTTCTGCAATGACATACGAGTGAACCTAGTACAGGAAAGAAAAACACTGCAGACGGTTTACACGCTAATGCCTCACTTTGCTCAGCTGCTTCGATATCTTGAAGGCAGGGTCGATGTACGGGTCGATCGCCGGCAGCTTGACCTTGTACGTCAGAAACGTTATTGAGCTAGCCTGTAACGAGGATGACAAAAGGGAGTTAGGGAAGGGAGGCCACGCAGGAGTTGAGTGGTATGGTATTCTCAAATAGAGGGGTAGAGAGAAACACTTTATCCAAAGCTCTCCCACTAACCTGGCAGCTTACTTGCATTGCTCACAGTGCAGAACCTTCTTCGAAGTTGCAACCCACCTGCTTCCAGACAGTCTTGAGACATATCTTGTAGGAGGGAGAGCAGCCATAGCCGCAGTTGAACCATTACCCCCCAAACGCAGTTGTAAACCTTCCTGGAAGTTTCAACTCACCTGCTTCCAGAGAGTCTTAAGGCACATCTTGTACGATGAGGAGCAGCCAGAGCCGCAGTTCACCCATTGCATCCAACGGCTCATACTGATCCTTTGATTTTATTCAGAAGTTTCATTCAACCCACCTGCTTCCAGTCCGTTTTGATGCACATCTTGTAGGAGGGGGAGCAGCCATAGCCGCAGTTCACCCATTGCCCTCCAAATGGCTTGATAAGATAGACCTTTTGAGAGGATGCAACCCACCTGCTTCCAGACCGTTTTGATGCACATCTTGTAGGAGGGGGAGCAGCCATAACCGCAGTTCACCCATTGCCCTCCAAACGCCGGGCAGCTGCGTATGCACACCTGCAGTGCAGGCGGGTAGCGAAGGGGAGAAAAGGGAAGAGGGGAGGGTGGTACGGAAGGGGGTTGGAGAGGGGAGAGGGAGGGACAGGGGCAGTGGAGGATGGAGAGGTGAGGGCAGTGCACGCAATCACGTATGGAGGCCAGGGAGGGTAGGTGGAGGTGGGGAATGGGAAGGGGAAAGGGGGAGAGGAAGGGTGGGGAGGGACAGGAGCAGTGGATATCGACTGTTGCGGGCAGGTTACGCAAGCACATCTGCAGCCCAGGGTGGGGAGGTGGAGGCGGGAAATGGGAGGGAGAAATGAGGAGGGGGAAGGGTGGGGAGGGACAGGAGCAGTGGATATCGACTGTTGCGGCAAGCACATCTGCAGCCCAGGGTGGGGAGGTGGAGGCGGGAAATGGGAGGGGATATTGACAGTTTGGGAAAATATGCGGCAAGCACATCTGGAGCCCAGGGTGGGGACGCGGAAGAGGGGAGGGGGAAGGGGCAGAGGGGGGAAAATGTGGGCAGGGAAGAAATGGTGCAAGAAGCGCATGGAGAATGGGAGTTGGGGGCGCTCCAAGGAAATGCATGTGGGGGCGAGTGTGGGGAAACAGGAGAATGTGATGTGGGTGTGGAATGGAGGAGGGTGTGGAAGAACAGTGGAACATGAGCATTTGATGGGGGCGGGAAAGGGCGGTGGGCGGCGCCACTGGGTGGTGATGAGGGACAATGGGCGGCAATGGGCGGCAATGGGCGGCAATGGGCGGTGATGAGGGACAATGGGCGGTAAGGGGCGGTGAAGGGACGCGATGGGAGAAATGATGGGGGAGGGAAGAGAGAGGGTGGGGGGAAGGGGTGAAGGAAGGGTGTGCGTGTGTGTGGGGAGGTAGGGAATGGGGGGGTTTGCGGAGTAACGCAGATTTATCACTCATTTTATTCTGCTCGATTTTGACTCCTATGAGCGTTCCTTCCTTTTCCCTTCCCCCCCCCCCCCCCTCCCCCCCAACATCCCTTCAACCCCACTCCACTTCCCGCCTCTCCCCTATTCCCCTTTCATGTTTCCGCTCGGCGCGCAAGCGCGGCAAGCGCAAGTGCAGCGCGCGCAAGCGCGGCAAGCGCAAATGCAGCACGTCGGGCTTACCGGTCCGATCCCGCGGAACCTTTTCGCGCCTCTCCCCAATCCTCCCTCCTTCCCCTTCCCCCCACTTTCCCCCCCCCCTCCTTCCCCCCCCCCCCCCCCCCCCACCCCCTCCCTCCTTCTCTTTTTTTCCTTTCCGCTCAGCAGCAAGCGTGCGGCACGCGCAAGTGCAGCACGTGCGGCTTACCGGTCCGATCCCGCGGAACCTTTTCGCGCATTTTTTGGTTGGCGGCATGCGCGCGTAGGTCTCGCGGTAGCAGAACATGTACACGTTGGTGTAGTTAATCTTCAGACTTAGGTCCTCGCGCCGCGCGGGCAAGTGCGCCTCGGGAAATCCGCCGTGATGGCTGGAAGAAGCGCCAGGGAGTAGCAGCTGGTTGCGCGCTTCGACGGGGAGGTAAGGAGATGGGGCGGCGCGAGAAGGAGCTGCAAGGAAGCTGGCGTAAGCAAGGAGGGCGATGATGTGGCACGGAAGCGTACATTGTCGTCGGCGAAGGGACGACGTGCGAAGATCATAACCGCGGTTCGGGAGGGTGACTGCCATGCTACGCAGACGAATATAAATACGGACGAAAAGCCGCGTCGAGAAATGTCCTCGAGGCAAAAGGTTAAATATGAAAACCTCTCTTGAGCGACTACTAGAACCTACTAAGCTGCTCTGAGCTGGTACGTCACGTCCGTTACATAGCTAAATAGAAGGCTGAAATGTGGCTAGGCTACTCGTCTTCGTTTAACTAGCAACAGGAACTTGAGGCTGAACAGGTTGCTACGGAAGCAGGTTGGGGTCTAGGCGCGGATATTAATAGACGCGGAGATTAGTTGTGCTGTACGGTACTGAAGTTGCAGTACGAGGTACGACACGTGGTGTGCGTCAAAGCGCGTAATGCGAGACTAAGTAACGGAACGATTCTTGGTGGAAGAAATGTGAAGGCGGTCTGGAGACGGAAATTTCTAGAGGAAAGTAGCGAGGAGAGTTCGGAACTTAGGAGTGGACTCTAACTGGAAGAAATGTGGTGACGGTCTCAAGAATTCTCAACAGGGGGAAGAGGAGAGGGAAGGCTCTAGATGATGTGGCTGTCTGAGGAACGATCAGTTGAATGGCGTTGGTTGGTTCCAGGCCAGGCCAGAT